GGTAAATTAGAGTGTTCCATTAACCTGCCATGAATGTTTTTGGAATGTGGGAGGAAACCGGAGTACCTGGAGAAAACCCCTGCAGGCACGGGGAGAACATGGAAAACTCCATGCAGGGAGGCTGGAGCCGGAATCGAACCTGCTACCTCTGCACTGTGAGGTCGATGCCCTAACCACTCGATCACTGGGCCACCCCTGTATTATTATTATTATTATTATTATTATTATTAGTAGTAGTAGTAGTAGTAGTAGTAGTAGTAGTAGTAGTAGTAGTAGTAGTAGCAGTAGTAGTCGTAGTAGTAGTAGTAGTAGTAGTAGTAGTAGTAGTAGTAGTAGAGAATAAAAATGACAAACCTACGTGACAAAGTGGTTGCCCCCTAAGCCTAATAAATGTTTGGGCTACCCCCAGCAGTACCAACTGAAATAGTGTTTTCTATAACTGACAATGACATCTCTGTGAAGATATATCTGGAGGAGTTGGGAAACAGGAGGATACTAGCCAAGCTAAAAGCTGCGATGGACAGACCCTCCCACCACCTCCGGGCCACCCTGGCAGCACTGGGCAGCTCCTTCAACCAGAGACTGTTACACCCGCGCTGCAAGAAGGAGAGATACCGCCGCTCGTTCCTATCGACTGTCAGGTTATTGAATAGACAGACCTGTAAACCTGGAATCACCGCCACTCACCCATTAGTATGCTTATATTTATATTTTATAATTTTTATTTATTTAAATACTTTTTGTTCTTCTACTTCTCCCTTTCATAATTTTGCTGCTGTGAATTGGGAATTTCTCCATTGTGAGACAAATAAAGGTTTTCTTATTTTATATTTCACCCATTTTTCCTTGCAGAATTTCTTTAATTCAGCAGCACTGGAGGACCTTGAAAGGTTATGCCACAGCATTTCAATCAGTTTCAAGTCTGGAAAACCTTCATCTCCCCAAAACCTTCATTTTGCTTTTGTAAACCATTCAAAATTGGACAGCTGCACAGTATTTGTCTGAATAAATTCATTCCATACCTACGCAGTGCTTTCTTTTCAGTCTCGTCATGTTGATGACATTACTCAACACGTGTCAGCAGTCAGCGCACACATGCAGAGTGACTGACAGTTTTCTCTATACAGCAGCACTAGAGTACGTTTTAGAAACATGAATCGATAATGCAGGTTTTATTGGTTGTTGTTTTTTGTAAATACATTTCATTCTTGAGACATTTTAGTAAGAAGGCCATCCAAGCACTGTCGACCTTTGATCACTCCCATCATCTCTCAAACTGGATAGCCTCACCGGATACGCCTCTGTCTTCCTTTAACACGCTGTATTAACTGCACTGAACTGATAATGCCCTTTCAGTAGTAAATTTGATTCATGCAACTCCAAGAAAATCAATTTTCCACCATCTTTCTCCCCTCTTTCATCTCTATTCCCCATCTTCCTTGGCCATTCCATCTATCTTCAAGATTGCCATGGTGGTGGCTCTGATCTTATCTCTCTTGAAGCTGCGCCGCAGAAGTGATGGCGTGGATTATCGCATACCCCAAACTAATCCGTGTGAAATCTTCATTTCCCAGAAGAATGACATGTCCTGCAAGACTTCTGCCTGACAAATATCGCCATTTCAAATGAGGTGATGCTCATCAAAAGTACCTTATTTTCATTCATAAAATAATTCATACACCCACAAAAAAATCATACATTTCAGGGATTAGATGAATTGTATTTTCTTGTCTAGTGTGGAGTACCTACTGATGAAACATATTTTGTTCAACAATGTACAGTATGTGATATTTTTTATGACAGTTATGGTTTCCTCATTAACTTTCACATCCTGAGAACCCAGGAAAAAAATTATTTTTCAATTCCTTTTTTTGTCCTTGGAGCTAATACAACAACTGACAATTTAGCAGTTTAAGATTTAGGATCAACAGCATGTCCATCGTGGTGGATAACAGAACGATTTTTCCGCACAATGAAATTAGATCAGCCTGGAATTAAAACAAGATTGTCAATCCATTTTTTGAAAATGAAACTGAACATTTAGCCTGTGTTTTTGGTAAACTTTTAAACAATTTGTCTTCCAAGACTTGTCATCATTGTAGTGGGGAAATAACTGCATATTACTTTCAGTCTCAACATGTGTTCAAGTCCTCTCTACTGTCAGGAGGCCTAGTTAGTGCAGGTTTGAATGTGTTAGCTCCGCCTCCTGCTCTTAATTGTTCTCCACCTCCTCTTTCTTCATTCATTCACTTCTTAGGAATGGTACTCCAGGAAGCAGTTTCTCTTGTTTGTATTGCAGAGGAATGTCTTGGAAGTGATACATCGTGTGTATGTCTTGTATGCTTTGTAACTGTTTTGGCACCCCTCTGCATGTTTGCAGTCGACCATCTCTGTCATGTGCCTGGCCCCATATTTTCCCCGAAGATACTATTTTCCTTCTTGTTGTGGAATTCTCTTTTGATGGGTGCTATGCACTCCGTTTCGCTCTCCTCTCTCCTCTGCTCTCTTGTCAGTGTCACCGAGATCAAAGTCAAGGCTGGGGTCACCAATGTGATGCTTGCTAGCACCATGTAGCAGCTAAGGACCATGCGAGTCACCGCCGGGCTTGTTCTAAAAATATCTTACCAGTGATAGGGCATTATGATTTTCTAGGAATGTTGTGAAAGTGATCATTTGAAAAGGTAGAAACTGGTATAGATTTGTGGAAATAAAGTGTTTAAAACTGATACCTGTACTTATATTTACTGTGAGAAATCATGAACATGATCAATGTCCTCACATAAATTAATACCATTTGTTATCAATAATAACATACAACACTAACTTAATGGAAAGTAATTCAAGCAAAATTGTTATCTTAAATGCGTGTATCAAATTGGTAGCCCTTTGCATTAGTCAGTTCCCAAGAAGTAGCTCCTATTGTGTGCAATAATGAGTCCACATTCTTACATGAGGGAGGCACAGTGGACAATTGGTTAGCACATCCGCCTCAGAGTGCGGAGGTTGTTGGTTCGGATCTGGGCTCCGGCCTTCCTGTGTGGAATTTGCGTTATCTCCTCATGCCTGAATGGGTTTTCTCTAGGTACTCCCATTTCCTCTCACATTCTAAAAACATGTGCGACAGTTTAATTGAGCACTGTAAATTGTCCCTAGATGTGACTGTGAGTGTGAATGGTTGTTCATTTATCTGTGCCCATCATACGATTAACTGGTGCCCAAATCAGAGTGTACCCTGCTTACCACCCGAACACAGCTGGGAGAAGCTTTAGCATGCCCGCGACCCTATCAAGGGTAAGTCGTTCAGAAAATGGATGGATGGATGACTGAGTTAAAAACAAAGCAAAACAACGGTTTGTCAATGATGCTGACAAGAAAAATGATCCATTACTTTTGGTTTAACCCAAATCCAGTGCATCATTTCACTGACTAAATGCCCTGGCTCTGAGCTGAAGTTATTCGTCTTAATCCACCTTTTTGATAAACTTCAAGCATGCTTAATTGTGTTGACGTGAAGCATAGTTTGCCCCATTGCTCAAAAAGACCTCATTTATATTTATGACAGTCTTGAGTCTCCATTCCTGATTAATCCACTTAATATTAGGATGCACATCCGTAAATCTCCTCCGAGCCATGAGACAGTGTAGTGTAGAGTGAGTATGTGATCTGAATGCAAACTCTCTGATTTGCAAACTGAAAAGCCTTCACCTAAAGAGCTCTCGTACTCCAAATCTTGCCCCTTGGATAACTAGTCAGAATGGTAAAGCGCATGGCTGTTCCACTCCTTCAGTCATATCTTCCCGCATCTTGAAGCACATCCCAATAAAACTGGTTTAAGACATAAGCAAATCATTGATGATTATGATCCTCTTTTTCACCATGAGAGACAGACACAGCGAGTCACAGATTAGCAAGTCAGCAGAGAGTAAATGCTTCCGAATCCCCTTGGAGGATCTGAAAGGTTTCTTCATCCTTGTTGAGAGCTGCACCGCTCAACGTGAAGAGCTTTATCGAGAACTGCTTGCATCGGGACACAGCTAACTTAACAAAATGATGAAAGTGGTGTCTAGTCAAATAAGTGATGACATGGTTTATTGTGTCAGTGTGATTTCCGCTTACTTTGGGGTAATATATAAAGATGTACAATGAGGGATAGGGACCGAGCCCTGCAGAGAAAAGCAAAAATCTGAATTGATCCAAAAAGGGTTTATAAAACCATATTTACTGAAAAATGTTGTTGAATTTACTCCATTTTATTTCATCAAATGGTTGCATGAAATAAAATCATCTGGATCCAGATACATTGATCTTGTGTTCAGGACCTGGTCTTGTGCTGCCGTGATTAGTACATCTGTGCTTTCTTTCAGTCCACCCTTTTTCAACCACTGGTGTGTTTTCCCGATGTCCGAAAAAGAGAGCGAGAGAGAGAGAGAGAGAGAGAGAGAGAGAGAGAGAGAGAGAGAGAGAGAGAGAGAGAGAGAGAGAGAGAGAGAGAAAGAACACCGTTTGGCCGTTAGCAGCATTTCATACTTGCAGTGTTTTTGTTTGTGTGTTTTTTTGTTGGTATGTGTGTGTTTGTATTTCCTTTTTATCCCACCACTCCTCTGTTTTCAGCGTTCGGCAGTTTGCAGCGCGTTTGCCCAGTTGGTCACTGTAAAAAACAGGATGTCTCAATGGCCGATGAAAGACACGCTCACTGATTAAACTTAAAAAGAACACGGAGATTCAACCAGATGGCGCCAAACTAATTATTAATTAATTTGGGGGTTTGTTCTTAAGCACTGGTGGTCCAGTGGTTAGTTAGCGCGTCGACCTCACAGTACAGAGGTCGTGGGTTCGATCCCAGCTCTGGCCTCCCTGTGTATAGTTTGCATGTTCTCTCCATGTGTGGGTTTTCTCCAGGTACTCCGGTTTCCTCCCACATTCCAAAAACATGCATGGCAGGCTGATTGAACACTCTAAATTGTGCCTAGGTGTGAGTATGAGCGAGGATGGTTGTTCGTCTCTGTGTGTCCTGCAATTGGCTGGCAACCAGTTCAAGATGTACCACGGTTACTGCCCAAAGACAGCTGGGATAGACTCCAGAACGCCCGCGACCTTCGTGTGGATAAGCACATTAGAAAATGGGTTAATGAAAAAATAAGGTTCAGGGTGTCTCCCGCCGACTGCCTGAAGACAGTGGGAATGGGCTCCGGCACCCCTGCGACCCCTTGTGAGGATAAAGCGGATAGGATGGAAGAATGGATGGATGGATGCTTGAGCACTAAAAAATAGACACGATTTTCATCAATTAACGGATGATATCCCCCCACCTCCCCCCCCCACACACACACGCACACAAAATAAAGAAATAAAAATAACAAATTAAATAAAAATAAAAATAAAATACAAATCCCCGAAGAAGGAAATTCCTGACTGACCTTATCTCATTTGAAAATTCAATTTGCTTGTTTTCAAGTGAAAGCGTAATGTTCAATTCATCCGTTATGGGGTGGGGGGGGGGGGGTTACACCCCAATTCATGGGGGCAAGCATGAGTGTGTCACTGAATACCCCTGAGAGTTCCGAGTTCCACCTTCACTCTACCCTCTGCGCTTAGCAGATGGCCAGGGGTAGAAAAATAGAACTGGATGAACGTGGAGGCAGCTCGCTTCAGTCACATGCTCCATAACACTTCCATATGCATTCACACACACACACACACACACACACACACACACACACACACACACACACACACACACACACACACACACACACAAAACCCACACACATGCAGCAGGCGTATGCAACCAGACAATACACGCACACGACGCCATAACATGCAGATGAGATGAAGTTATATTACAGTGGAACATGTTTTTCACTGGGAAAAGTGCGATGTTTAATCACCCACATCCCCCATGCGTATAACAAACAGAAAATGTGGGCGTTGAAACCTGCAAATGGGAAAAGTTTGGGTGTTGAAACACCCACAATCCCCAAAGTTGCGATACCCCTGCTATGAGCAAATGGCATCCTCTTAGCAGCCCTCTCCAATTGAGCATGTGCCATCTATTTCCAAGCGACAGATTATCACAGCCTTAATGGTTGACAGATGGTGAAAAATTGACTCTAATGCTTGTGCTACAAAATGTTGCAGGCAGGCATTTTCACTAATTCTTTTCTAACGTCTCACTCGTGAAATAGCAAACCTGGTGAATGGCAAATACTGACAGTATTCTACGCACTCCACCATTTCATGAGAATTCAGAATATGGCAGAAGCAATTTGGAAAAAGTTGCATTTTGCACAGAGGAAACTGACCATAATATTAATGCTCAATAAGTAGACTACGTGATACAACGTGATACAATATGGTTAAATGTATCCTATGCCATGACATTTTCCTATTCCCTGTAGAACAGTGCAACTCAGTAAATAGAAATGCTTTCATTGGGCCTCTTTATTTGAATGAAAAAACACCGTCAGACAATGAAGTACCGTCACGTTTTGTCTATTGAATGATGCTGACATCTAGTGGTGTAGATTTGTAACAGAACCAGGATTCAGAGGATTTCTGTGGACTGTTTTGTGTGTTTGTTAATGTACATTCTTCATTGGCTACTGAACTTTCTTTGGCACAAAATAAGGCATTTAAAACATTCTTGATTGAGTAATAACTTAAAGGCTTTTTGGAAGTATAATCCACAGTTGTTGGTCACCAGCATGACCATTATCGCTGGATATATATTTGGGTGATCAAATACAACGAAGCACGTGCTCTTTTTAAAGGCAATATAGACCATCAAAATATGCTTCGTAGACTTTTATTGCTCAACAAATGCAAGAAAAACTATTTGTTTGTAATGACAATTAAAAATGTCAATTTACATTGTACAGTTTGGAAAGTAACAAGTACACATACTTGAATCCTGTATTTAAGTAAGAGTAGAATTGGTACTTTTTTTTAACCAGGCTCTTTTCATACTTCGACTTCTACCTCTGAGCATCCATCCATCCATCATCTGACCCACCTATACTCACGAGGGTGTGAGCGCGAATGGTTGTTTGTCTATGTGTAGCGACCAGTTCAGAGTGTACCTCACCTACTGCCCGAAGACAGCTGGGATAGGCTCAAACATATATATATATATATATATATAT